TAAGATTATGAAGGGAATAGATAATGTGGAGGCAGGGAGGTTGTTTCCGCTAGCAGGTGAAACTAGGACTAGGGGGCATAGCTTCAAAATAAAGGGAAGCAGATGTAGGACTGAGATCAGGAGGAACTTCTTCACCCAAAGGGTTGTGAATCTGTGGAATTCCCTGCCCAGTGAAGCGGTTGGAGCTACCTCGCTGAATGTTTTTAAGGCATGGCTATATACATTTTTGAACAGTAAAGGAATTAAGGGTTATGGTGAGTGGGCGGGTAAGTGGAGCTGAGTCTCAAAAAGATCAGCCGTGATCTTATTAAATGGTGGGACAGGCTCGGGGGGCCAGATGGCCTACTCCTGCTCCTAGTTCTTATTTTCTTATGTTCTTATGTTCTGGTAGCCAGTTCAGCATTTCTGCCTTACGACCTCTTCTTAAAAAAAAAACCAAGACAAAATAATCTCTTAAAGTGACAGCATCGTCACATCTGAAGGTGAATAAATCACCCGGACCAGATGGACTACACCCCAGAGTTCTGAAGGAGATAGCTGAGGAGTTTGTGGAGGCATTGGTGGTGATCTTTCAGGAATCACTGGAGTCCGGGAGGGTCCCAGACAACTGGAAAATGGCTAATGTAACACCCCTGATAAGAAGGGAGGGAAGCAGAAATTGGGAATTTATGGATTGGTTAGCTCGACCTTGGTCATTGGTAAGATTTTAGCGTGTATTATTAAGGATGAGATTGCGGACTAGTTGGAAGTGCGTGGTAAAATAGAGCTGAATCAACATGGCTTTGTCAAGGGAGGTCATGCCTGACAATCTACCAGAAGTCTGTGAGGAGGTAATGAACAATCTCGACAAAGTAGAGCCGCTGGACATAATCTATTTGGATTTCCAGAAGGCCTTTGATAAGGTACCGCGCAGGAGGCTGCTATTTAAGATATGAGTCTGTGATTTTACAGGCAAAGTACTGAGAATGGGGATAAAAGGAGCTTTTTCAGGATGGCAGCTGGTTATTAGTGGAGTTCTGTAGGGGTCTGTGCTGGGACCATGACTATTCACGGTATATGTTGACAATCTGGACAAAGGAACTGAGGGCATTGTTGCTAAGTTTGCAGGTGACATAGAGATATGTGGATGGACAGGTAGAGTTGAGGAAGTGAGAAGGCTGCAGAAGGACTTGGACAGGCTCAGATAGTGGGCAAAGAAGTGACAGATGAATACAAATGGGATTGTGTGAGGTTATGAACTTTGGTAGGAAGAATAGAGGCATAGATTATTTTCTAAATTGGGGAAGCTTTGGAAATCTGAAGTACAAAGCAACTTTGGATTCCTCGTTCAAAGTTCTCTTAAGGTCAACATGAAAGTTCAGTTAAGAAGGCAAATGCAATGTTAGCATTCATTTCAAGAAGGCTAGAATATAAAAGCAGAAACGTACTGCTGAGGCTGCAAAAGGCCCGGTTAGACTGCATTTGGAATGTTGAGAGCAGTTTTGAGCCCCATATCTGAGGAAGGATATGTTGGCATTGGAGGGGGTCCAGAGGAGGTTCACAAGAATGCTAAGAATGATGGGCTTGTCATATGAAGAGCAGTTGAGGACTCTGGGTCTGTACTCGATGACGTTTAGAAGGACGAGGAAGGACCTGATTGAAACTTATAGAATACTGAGAGGCCTGGATAGCGTGGACATGGAGAAGATGTTTCCATAAATAGGAGAGACTGGGACCTGAAGGCACAGCCTCAAAGTGAAGGGATGACTCTTTGGACCTGAGATGAGGAGAAATTTCTTCAGCGAGATGGTTGGTAATCTGTGGAACTTATTGCTACAGAGGCCAAGTCATTGAATGACTTTAAGACAAAGACAGATAGATTCTTGATTAGAAAGGGGACCAAAGGTTACAGGGGGAAAGCAGGACAAAGGAGTTGAGAAGTATATCAGCCATGATCGAATGGCAGAGCAGACTTGATTGGCCAAATGGCTTCATTCTGAACGTATATCTCATGGTTTTATGGATAGGTAGATAAGTTATTAAGAATGCAGTTAGGTGACTTGTCTTTATTAGTTAAGGCATTGAACACAAGAACAAGAAAGTTACGATGAAGCTGTATATATTGTCAGTTAGGGCACAGCTGAAATATTGTGTGCCGTTCTGGTTACCACACTGTAGGAAAGATGTGATTGCACTAGAGACGGTGCAAAGAAGTTTTATCAGATATTGTTTGGGTCGGAGCAATTAAGATATGAACAGAGGTCAGATAGGCTGAGGTAATTTTCCTTAGAGCCGAAAAGTCTGAGTGGAATCTAACTGTGGTGTGCAACTTTCTGAGGAGCATAGACAGGTTAGATGGGGAGGAACATCTCCCTTAGTAGACAGATCAATATCCAGAGGGCACAGCTCTAAGATAAGAGGCAGAAGACTTAGAAAAAGAAGCATTTTTTTTTAAACAATGAGAGAGTATAAAGGGATCTGGGTCTCCTAGTGCATGAGATGCAAAATATTAGCATGTAAATGCATTATGTAGCTATAGAGAAGTTAACAGCATGTTGTAATTTATTGCAAAAGAAATTAAATACACAAGTGAGAAGCTATGCTTCACTTATATAGGACAGTGGTGGAACCACATCTGAAGTACGACATAGAGTATTGGTTTCTATTTAAGGAAAGATGTAAATTTCTTGGAGACAGTTCACGGAAGGTTTACCGATTAATATCTGAAATTGGCAGCTTGTCTGATAAGCAAAGGTTGAACAGGCTTGACTTATATCCACTGGAGTTTAGAAGAGGAAGAGGGCAAGTTGATTGAAACATATATGATCCTGAAGAGTCTTGCCAGGGGAGGTATAGAAAGAATGTTTCCTCTTGAGGGACAATTTAGAACTAGGGATCACTTCAAAAAATCAGGGATTGCCCATCTGAAACCAACGATAGGAAGAATTTGTTTTCTCACAAAGGATCATAGGTCGTTGGAACGGTCTTCCTCAATAGGCGGTAAAGCAGACAACTTGGACATTTTTATGAAGTAGTAGATTATTGAGAAGCAAGGGCATGAAAGGTTCTCAGCAGTAGTCCAGTACATGGAGTAATCAGATCGGAATGGTGGAGCAGGCTTTATGGGCTGATTGGACAGCTGCAGCTTCTAATTAGTGTGTTTGTATCCATCCAGTGAACACGGCCAAGCCATGTCATTGCAATGTCATTGATTATATGTCGGTTTAATCAGCATGCACCAGAACCTTTGAGTTGATGTTCTTTTGCTGCCAAGAATCGCTGAGGATAGGGCTGAGTCAGCGAAAGTGGAAACTGGTCAGTCTTTTCTCTTACCTGGGTATATGTTGTCCAGGCCTTACTGTTATGGAGGAGTGTGTTGAGGCCTCCAGCTTGGTATACGAGCAGCTTGGTGTTCTCACTCAGGTTGTTGTTCAGCATTTTATATTCAGCGTGGACATAATAGTGCAGCTTTTGTGACGTGCCCTGATTTCAGCATCAGGTGACAGACTGTTGTTGATTATGGAACCTAGATACATGAAGCTATCAACAACCTACAGGATAACCTTGTCACAACTGATAGATGGTGGCATAGCAACATACTGCAACTTGATGTTTGTCATCTTGATGCTGATGGCCAAACCAAACTCTGGACTCGTGTGAGAAAGTCTGTCCGCTTGCTGCTAAAGGTGTTCCTTTAGTGTGGAACATTAGTGCATCATTGTCAGCATAGCGCAATTTTCTGAAGAGCAGTAGCCACATCTTTGTCTTGGATCTCAGGCAATCTAGGCTGAAGAGCTTCCCATTAAGTCTGCTATGCAAGTAAAGGATCTGAAGGCATTTAACAGCAGTGAAGAATATGCCAAAAGGTGTCAGTACCAGTACAGAACTCTGTTTGACACCACTACAGATCTGTAAGGTTTTGATGCAGCCTCATCATAACCAGTCTTGTCCAACATATTGTTATGGAAAGAGGAGATCACATAAAGCAGCTTCAGTAGGCAGCTACTTTTCAGCAGGAACTTAATAAACACTTACTGCTGACATAGGGAATGCAGTCTCTCATGTTGATGAGGTCAGGCGGCATAGTGATTTCATGACTGCTTTGAAGCAAACACTTTAGCTCCAGAATTGTTATTGTATTCAAATTTCACGGTCTGCCACAGTGAGTTTGGAATCCATGTTACCAGAACATTACTCTTGGAACATGTTTGCTAGTCCAGTGACATGACCACTAAGGCACCTCCTCCCAAATCTTAATTGAAGTTTGGCCAATCTTTTATAATCAAAAACTTCATAAATAAATCAGTAATTCCTTCCTTCTACATTATTATTCTTAATTAAATGCAGAGGTTGTTTCTGGCCTTAAAAAATACTCAGAAGATTGTTGTGCTTCAGTTAGTGCTAATTTTCTCCAGAGCATGTGTGTAGTTTATTGTGCAAGTGTACTTTTTGAAAATCTGTGAATATTTACCTTTATTGCCTCCTGTGATAGGAACACTGCCTGACAACTAACATTCTAAGGAAACTTCAGCTCTCCGATGTTGAGCTCCTGAAGGATACCAGCTTATCACATAAGATTAGATTCAGGTAATTTCTGAGGGACACTCTTTGACAAAGCAACACTGACACAGAATGGACCATATTTAAGAAATGCATAGTGAAGTACAAAATAGAGGTATGTTTGACCAGTTATACGTAATTTGCATAATAATCATCTACCAGTAGAACAATATTATTTTGTTTTAAAATTAGCAGAACTTCAAGACCTGTTTCGTTGTATCTATATAAAATGGTTAGCTCAATTTGAATTTGTATTGTCAGCTTAATTAACAATTGTACAGTGGACCGGGAGTGCAGCAGTTATTTAATTTACTTTAAACGATGAAAAAGCACAGTTAGGTAAAAAGGCTGACACCATTTACAGAAATCAATCATGTTATTTCGTCTCAGATTTGCTGGAGAAGAATTTCCTCCAATTCTTGTGTTTAAGATTTTTCAACATGCCGGGAGTTGTAAAAATCACTATATAAGTGGGAAAAGAATAATCAGGCCTGCGACTAAGGTAACTCCATTTTTTTTTCATTTTTCCTTCACATTTACTCCGCTCTGGGTATTAATCCACTTGCTAGGGTGAACAGATTGATTCATATACAAGAGGTAACTTCCATCATTCTCCAATACCATATGTGAATTTGACAGTGAGTAACAGGCCATTTGGGCTATCCAGTCTGATCTGGCATTTAATGAAATCATGGCTGATATCATAACCTTCAACTCCACATTCCTGTCTTTGCCCCATAACACTTAATTTAGCTACTTATTAAAAATCTGTCTTAAATGATCCAGCTTCTAGAGCTTTCGGTGGTTAAAAAACCAGTATTACCCTGTCAAGTCCACTAAGAATCTTATATGTTTCAATAAGGTCACCTCATTCTTCTAAACTCCAATGAGTACAAGCCAAACCTCCTCTTATAAGAATACCTCTCCATGCCTGAGATCAAAAAGTGAGCATTCTCTGGACTGCCTCCAATGCCAGTCTGTCTTTCCTTAGGTAAGGAACTCCTAAGTGTTCAAACTGTTATAGGTGATTTATCTAAGGCCTTGTATAGTTTTTGCAAGTCTTCCCTATTTGTATACTACATCCCCAATGAAATAAATGCCAACATTCCTTTGCTATCCCTATTACCTGCTGAAATTGGATGTTAGCTTTTTATGATTTATACATGTGGATTTCCAAATCCCTCTGTGCTGTAGCTTTCTGTATTCTTTGTCCATCTAAGTAATATTCAGCTCCTCTATTCATGTTGCCACGCCACATTACACCACATTATATTCCATCTGCCAAGTGTTTGCCCATTCATGTAACCTGTCTATGTCCCTCTGTAGACATTGTGTCATCTTCACCTTGACTTCTCACCTATTTTTGTGTCGTCTCCAAGTTTGGTTACCATATGTGTAATTCCCTCATCCAAGTTATTATTGTGTATTGTAAATAACTGTGGCCCTAACACAGATTCCTGTGGAACTCCACTAGTTACAGGTTTCCAATTTGAAAATATCCCCTGATCTCAACTCTCTGTTAGTTAGCTACTCCTCCAGCCATGCTAATATACTATTTCCAACTCCACAGGTCTTAGCTTATTAAGGGGCCTTACTTGCAGTACCGTATTGAATGCTGGCAGCACGGTAGTTCAGTGGTTAGTACTGCTGCTTTCACAGCGCCAGGGACTCGGGTTTGATTCCACCCTCGCAACTGTCTATGCGGAGTTCGCACATTCTCCTCATGTCTGCGTGGGTTTCCTCCGGGTGCTCTGATTTCCTCCCACAATCCAAAGATGTGTGGGTTCGGTGGATTGGCCATGCTAAATTGCCCAGAGTGTTCAGAGGTATACCAGCTAGGTGGGTTAGCCATGGGAAATACAGGATTACAGGGATAGCCTGGGGTCTGAGTCTGGGTTGGATGCTTTTCAGAGGGTTGGTGTGGACTCAATGAGCTGAATGGCCTGCTCCAACACTGTAGGGATTCTATGATTAACAAATTAAGCTTTTTGGAAATCCAAATATATTAAATCTACCAGTTCTCCTTTATCTATCCTGCTTGTTACTTCCTCAAAGAATTCTAATAAATCTGTCAGACATGATTTCCCCTTCATGAAGGCGTGCTGACACTGTTTGATCATACTATGCATTTCTAAACACTCTGCTATTGCCTATTTTCTATTCGACATATTCCACAAGACAGACGTTAACTGATTAAGAGTTATGTGCTTCTTGTTTCCTTCCCTTTTTGAATAATGATGTTACATTGGTGAATTCTCCAGAATCTAAGTATTCCTAGAAGATTACTATCAGTTCATCTACTATCTCTGTAGTTACTTTCTTTACCATCCTAGGATGCAACCTAGCATGTCACACGTACTTATTGGCTTTTAGCTCCTGTAGTTCCCAGTAATTTTTCTTTAGTGATAATTATTGTATAAACTTCCTCTCTCCCTTCTGCCCCATAAATATTTAAGCTTTTGAAATGCCATACTGCCCAGTGCTATGAAGACTGATACAAATCCTCTGTCATTTCCTGGCTCTCCATTATTATTTCTCCAGCTCTCTTTCTAAGGGTGATATATTCACTTTGGCCCTTCTTCCTTTTTATATATTTATAGAAGCTCCTGATGTCTATTTTGATATTACTTGCTAGTTTACACTGTCAGTTTATTTTCTCCCTTTTGTTTTGGTAATCTCTTGTCATGGACGAATGCAGCTGGGACAGGTACATTGGTGAGAACGAGGTCAAACAGGCATTTTCCTCTTCTGTTCTTTTACCATCTGTCCCAGGCCCAGTGTGGCAGATATGTTTTTCAGCATTTTGCCAATTCAGGTACCAAGCCATCTTTAGTGGTGGCCATTGAAGTCTCTTACCTAGATAACATTCTGTTCTCTTGCTACTCTACTTCTTTCGCATGGTGTTTAACATGAAGGAGTTTCAGTTGAGGGAAGTTTGTAGGTGTTATTTATGGAGAGATTTTACTCCCTATTTTGATCTTGTTCCATTGGATTTCATGAAATTGAGAGTCAATGTTGACAGCTCCCAGAGCTGCTACTTCTCAACGATATACCACTGTGCCACCACCTCTGGTTGTCTGTATTTCCAATTGGACTGAGCATACTTGGGCATGGTAATATACAAGCCTTGGGACACTGTCTGAAAAGTATAATTCTATAGGTGTGATTATATCAGCTTGCCTGGTCTGTGGGATAGCTGTCCCATTTTTTGGCACAAATTCCCCAAAATCTCTAGAAGCTATTCCTTTGCTGAATTGAAGTCAAATACCTAGGTCTGTGATCAGTAATCTAATCTAGTTTTATTCCTATTACAATTTTTGTTAAAATTTAATGATTTATTTACTTTTGTTGGTATTTTGGGAAGGATTAAGAAGGAGCTCTTGAAATTATCCTTTTCTTTCATGTTCTAACTTTATAATTCAAAGATTTAATGAGAGGCTTCTTTTCTCAATAGGCAGCAGCTGCTTCCTGCAAAATTATGGGACACAGGAAATTCTATGATCTTATGATAGAGGATAACCTTCGGTATCAAAGAACCAAAATAGCAGATGAAACTGATATTGTTACAATGAAAGATTATATGCAGGTTTGAACGCTGCTTTTGTAATGCTGCAATTTGCTGAAGTAATAGAGGATGATTGTGTGGGTAAAATTAACTGGTCTGCAATGTCAGGTAAGAAAAGTACTCGAAGACTGCCATCTACACTGTTGCTTTCTTTAGAGCATCTGCAAAGTAATATTTGACATAGAAGACTTGAAAGATGCTGGTAAATGGAACACAAGAGGAGGTATCATTAATCTTTTTTTTTAAAGTTATAAAGTTTTTAAAGTTTTTGGGTGGAGCTAAGAATCAGCAAGGGAAAGAAGACATCGGTAAGAGTAGTGTACAGAACAAAAAATAGCCACTCTGTGGGAAAGGCTATAAATCAACAAATAATAGAAGTATGTAAAAAACAAAAAATAATAATTATGGGGTGACTTTAGACTTCATTTGATTCGGTTAATCAAATTGGCAAGTGTCTATGACAACAAATTCATAGAGTGCATCGGGGATAGTTTCCTAGAACAATAGGTCACGGAGCTAACCAGAGAACAGGTTATCTTAGATCTGGGAATGGGTAATGAGACAGTTTTAATAAATGACCTCTGAGTAAGGGATGCCTTAGGAAGTATGATCATAACATGATAGATTTAATATTCAGTTCAAGAGTGAGAAACTTGAGTTGGAAACAACAGTTTAGCTTAAACAAGTGAGTTACAATGAAATGAAGGTAGCATTAGCAATGGGCGGCACGGTGGCTCAATGGTTAGCACTGCTGCCTCACAACACCAGGGACCTGGGTTCAATTCCACCCTCAGGCAACTGTCTGTGTGGAGTTTCCACGTTCCTGCCGTGTCTGCGTGGGTTTCCTCCAGGTGCTCCGATTTCCTCCCACAGATCAAAGATGTGCAGTTCGGTGAATTATCCATGCTAAATTGCCCATAGTGTTCAGGGATTTGTACACTTGGTGGGTTACAGGGGGTTAGGTCTGGGTGGGATACTCTAAGGTTCGGTGTGGACTTGTTGTGCCGAAGGGCCTGTTTCCACACTGTAGAGTTTCTATGATCTATGATCTTAGCTAAAGTGATCGGGACAGAAAGATTAGCAGGAATGACAGGCAAGCAGTGGCAGACATTTAAGAAAGTAATTCATGACTTTCAACAAAAATGTATCCCAGAAAGGAAGAAAGATTTGAAGAGAGGGATAAACCAACCATGGCTAACCAAGGAAGTTAAAGAGGATACTAAGTGGAAGAAAAAGCATATTGTCAGGCCAAAGTCAAACCGAAGACTGGGATAAATTCAGAATCTAACAAAGGAGGACTAAAAAGTTAATAAAGACAGAGAAAATAAACTACAGTGGCAAATTAGCGAGGAATATAAAAACTGACAATAAGAGCTTCTTTAAAATATAAAAAGGAAGAGAGGGATCAAAGTGGACATGGGTCCCTTAGAAAATGGTTTTTGGGAACAAGGAAATAGCAGAGGAGGTGAACAGATATTTTCCATAAGTCTATATAGTGGAAGATACTTCAAACATTCCATTACTAATAAAGGACACAGGGGAGGAATTAAGTACCATCAACATCACCAGAGAAGTTGTATTACACAAACTAATGGGGCTAAAGGCAGATAAGTCTCCTGTCCCTGATGGTTTGGATCCTAGGATCCTAATAGAGATAGCTAGAGTGGATACATTGGTTGTACTTTTCAAAAAGTCATTGGATTTGGAGATTTATGGGGGAATTGGAAAACTACTAACGTGACACTCCTATTTAAAATGAGATGGAGGCAAAAGCAGATGCGTCTAAAATCCACTGTTAGAAAAGTGTTGGAATCAATTATTAAGGTAGTAATAGCAGAACATTTAGAAAATCATAATCTAAATAAGCAGAGTCTGCGTGGCTCCATGAAAGGGAAATCATGTCTGTCTAATTTGTTAGAGTTTTTCAAGGAAGTCTGAACCAGATTAGATAGAAGGGAACCAGTGATGTGTTGTATTTAGACTTCCAGGAGGCATTTGTCAAGATACCTCACAAAAGGTTAAGTTGAAAGATAAGAATCCATGGTGTTGGAGGTAATATATCCACATGTATAGCGTATTGGCTCATGGGGAGGAAACAGCAAGTGGGGATAAGGAGTTCTTTTTCAAGTTGGTGACCTATGACCAGTGGGGTTCCACAGCGATCAGTGCTGAGACCATAATTGTTTACAATATATATTAATGACTTGGAGGATGGAAGTGATGTACTGCAAGCAAATTTGCACACACAATAAAATAGGTACAAAGGCAGGTTGTGAGAGGGATACAGACAGACAGTTTACAGAGAGATATTGATAGGTTAAGGAAGTGGGCTAAAAGTCAGCAAATAAAGTTTTTTTTTTCCTTTATTCATTAACGGGATGAGGGTGTTGCTGGCGAGGCAGCATTTATTGCTCATCCCTAATTGCCTAGAGGGCAGTTCAGAATCAACTACATTGCTGTGGGTCTAGAGTTTGATGTGGGAAAATTGAAGTTGTCCATTTGGAAGGGAGAACAAAAGGATATTATTTAAATGGAGAAACACTGCAGAAAGCTGCAACACAAAGGGACTTGGGGGTACTTATGCACAAAACACAGAAAGGTAGCACACAGGTAATCAGGAAGGCTAATGGAATGTTGGCCCTTATTTCAAAGGGATTGGAGTAGAACATTAGGGAAATCTTATTGCAGCTGTAAAAGATGTGGTGAAACCACATCTGGAATACTGTGAGCAAATTTGGACCCCTTATTTAAAGAAAAATAGCATTTTATTGGAGGCAGTTCAGAGTAAGTGCACTAGGATGATCTCTGATATGAAGGGATTGTCTTATGAGTAAATATTAAACAGGTTGGGACTCTATTCGTTTGAATTTGGAAGAATGAGGCATGATCTCATTGAAACATATAAAATTCTTAAGGAGCTTGACAGAGTAAATGCTGAAAAGATGTTTCCCCTCATGGGAAAGTCCAGGACCAGAGGTCATAGTCTCAGTATAAAGGGATGCCAATTTAGTATTGAGATGAAGAGGAATTTCTTCTCTCAGAGGGTTGTAAGTCTTTGGAATTCCTTGTCAGAGGTGTGGGGCAGATTCCTCATGTATATTTAAAGCTGTGATGGGTTCTTGATCAACAGGGAAATCAGGCATTATGGGGAAAAGGCAGGAAAGTGGATGTGAGGAATGTTGGATCAGCCTTGTGTCCTAATCCCGTGCCTACTTGTCGTGGTCTTATGAGAAACTAGGGCATAGGCAAGATGGTATTGAAGAATTATATATGCATCCATAAGACTTTACACAACATTCCAATTTTTCCTAAGATGAAAAAAATCACAAACAAGATATTCATGGGTAAATGTAGGAAAGTGTTGTCAATTTTATAATTATACAACCTGGTAAAAGATAACTTTATTATTAAACTTGGTAATGAAAGTTTACAATATAACAATATTTAGGAGTCAACCTGTAATAAGTGACCGGAGTCAAGAGTAGGCCAAGCATGACCGATTCCTATCCTTAGACAACACATGTGAAACATTTAGGTTTTGATGTCACTGGAAGATTTCCTAGTGCTGATCAAAAAAATTTCAGATTAACAGGTGTAATTGTGAATCTATAATTTCTGCATTGCTATTCTAGTGCCATAACCTTTAAGCTGCTATATGCCAAAAATACTTGATTATTTCTAGTCAAAAGAATTTGAAGGATAGCCATCACATGGGATTTTACAAATGGTGTTTCCATCCTGCCCCACACACTATTAATGTTAAATAGGTCCTATACCTTTTGATTAATTAGTTGTCAGGCACAAAGCAGCGATAAAGAATAAATTAGTGGGGGTGGAACAAAAATCAGGCATATCGCATGACTCACGCTGATAATGTTGTCTGTCTTGTTGAGTGTCTTGTTTATATTCTCATCTGTATTACTCTTTTATAGTACATAAGTAATCTGGATGAGACTCCAGCTTATCTTGGAGGAAAAGACAACTACTGGAGAATGTTGACCCTGACAAACCTATCCAGGACAACAATTATGTATGACATTATGGACTATGCTCAAAACAAAACTTTATCTCAGCGTTTGAAAGAGGAATTGCCAATTCTGCTTTCCAAACCCATTACTGAAGAGATTCAACTTCAACACATTAGAACAATCTCTCAGACCAGGTATCTAATAGAGGGGGTAACTTTGTGATCTGCTTGTAATATTTATGTTCAGGAATAAGGTTCCAACACAAAATGAAAACAGAAAATTGCTGGAGAAATTCAGCAGATCTTGCAGCATCTGTGGAGACAAAAACAGGGTCAATGCTTTGAGTCCAATATGACTTCTTCAAAACATTCTGAAATCGTGGCCCATACAAGTTCAATATAACCTCTTTGCCATTATCAGCTTTGAATACACACACCTTATCCAATACCTCCTACTTATCAATTTTATTCTCTTCAAATGCCTGAAACACCACCTATTACACAATGTCTTTGGTAAGGACAAATTTGAAGCATTAAGTTTAATACCTCAGCATGCCTTCTATCTCCATACATAAATCCCCTTTTTGGTTTCTAATTGTATAATGTTATGGACTACTCCTTTTACCATCCTTTTAATATACCTATAGAAGATTTTGGGATTCATTTTTAAATTGGTTACCAGTATCTTTTCAAATTCTCATTTTGCTTCTCTTCTTCACCTCACTTCAGAACCTTCAATTGTATTTTCTAAATGAGATATGTTGTAAGCACACCTTTTCCTTTTTATCTTGATCTCTGTCACATCCAGGTAGCTGTGGCTTTTGCCCTACCTTTCATTTTCAAGGAAAATGTACCTTGAACATGTCCAAAATGCCTCTTTAATGAAGGTAGTCCATTATTCATCTGTTGCTTTTTCTGCCAACTGCTGACTCCTATTTATTTCACCCAGATCTGTTCTTATTCAGTTGAAGTTAACTTTGCCTGGTTAATTATTGACCTGATATCTCATATAGTCAGTTCAACATTGGGCTAAACTAATCTGGGGATGCTTAATCCAGTTACTGGATGGGTGTGAACTGGACAATGCACACAGCAACTTGCCACCCCTAGATATACACAAGATACAGATGGTGCAGACAAATTAAGAACTTGTTGAGAAAAAATGTAGTACAATCTACAGTATATTGAAAGACCTATGTGTATTTTCCTAGATCACCATGTCCAGCCACAAACATTCCTCCATCTCGATCTTCAACATCCTCAAAAACAGCAAGAGATTCACAACGTTGTTCTTACAAGGCACGACAAAAAGTTTCCAAAATGAGAAAGATTTACGGTTTGGATAAAAACAAAGAGGTAAAACCAAGTGATTAACGTATAGATGTTTTAATTCCGTTTTGTATTGCCTTAGGTTATTCCAATGTTTGTTAAAATAGTTGAATTCATTTTATTTCAGTCAGTTCTGATAATTTACCGATATAGTAAATGAATTAGATCAATTGAATAGTCCTTTGCTGATTGCACCCAGTACAAACTAGACTTGTTTGATCCCATGTTTGAATTTGATTTACGGTTAGCAAGTTTGCAGATGTCACTAAAATTGGTGGTATATTATACAGTGAAGAAGGTTATCTAAGATTACAAAAGGATCTTGATCAATTAGGCTGAGGAGTGATAGATGGACTTTAATTTTTTTTCATTCATTCATGGGATGAGGGTGTCGCTGGCTAGGCAGTGTTTATTGCCCAGAGGGCAGTTAAGAGTCAGCCACATTGCTGTGGGTCTGGAGTCAGACCAGGTAAGGATGGCAGTTTCCTTCCCTAAAGGGCATTAGTGAACCAGATCGGTTTTTCCTGACAATCGACAATGGATTCATGGTCATCATTAGATTCTTAATTCCAGATATTTATTGAATTCAAATTCCACCATCTGCCATGGCAGGATTCAAACCTGGGTCCCCAGAACATTATCTGGGTCTCTGGATTAACAGTCCAGCGATAATACCACTAGGCTATCCCATCCCCTTCATTTGGATAAATGTGAGGTGTTATATTTTGGTAAGACAACAAGGGAAGTACTTATACAGTTAATGGTAGGGCCCTGCGGAATGTTATCGAACAGAGAAACCTAGGGCTTCAGTTACATAGTTCCTAGAAATCTGCATCACAGGTAGACCGGGTGGTAAAGGCGGTGTTCAGCACACTTGCCTTCACTGCTCAGACCATTGAGTGATGATATGGGTGTACACTGATAAAACCTTTCGTTATCTCGGGGCAGTGACTTGAAAGAAATTCTGGGATTTGAATTTTAATTGATCGAAACCTGCATCTCCTTCTAACTGATTAAAGATTTAATAGGAGGGAGTCAGCCAGTGATTTTAGGTTTATTTAATCCATTTGCATCAGTTGTATGATCCTTTGACCTTTTACTTATAAGTTCTGTGTCTTGATATGTCCTCTCTCACTACCTGCCTGAGGAAGGAGCAACGCTCCGAAAGCTAGTGTTTTCAAATAAAGCTGTTGGGACTATAACCTGGTGTCATGTGTTTTTTGACTCAGACCATTGAGTAAGAGTTGGGACATCATGGTGCATTTGTACCGGACATTAGTGAGGCCACTTTTGGAATACTGTGTAAAGTTCTGGTTGCACTAATATAGGAAGGATATTATTAAATTGGAAAGGGTGCAGAAAAGATTTACAAGGATGTTACTGGGATTGGATGGTTTGAGTTATGAAGATAGGCTGGGATTTTTTTCACTGGAGTGTAGGAGGTTGAGGGGTGACCTTACAGAAGTTTATGAAATCATGAGGGGCATAGGTAAGGTGAACAGCAAAGGTCTTTTCCCCAGGGTAGAGGTGTTTAAAACTAGAGGGTATAATTTTAAGGTGAGAGGAGAAAGATTTAAAAGAGACTTGAGGGGCAACTTTTTCACACAGAGGATAGTTCGTATGTGGAATGAACTGCCAGAGGAAGTGGTAGATGCAGATACAGTTACAACATTAAAGACATTTAGACTGATACATGACTAGGAAGGGTTTACAGGGAAATGAGCCGAATGTGGGCAAATGGGACTAGTTTCGTTAGAGAAACTTGGGTCGGCATGGATGAGTTGGACTGAAGGGTCTGTTTTTGTGCTGTATAATTCTATGAATGCAGCCAGCAGTTCTCCAGTAGTGTCTCCCAATCTAACTCCTGCACTATCACCCTGAAACCATGCTCAGGGTGTATCCTCGGTTGCTTCCACTTTCTAATCCATATACTTGCCTTTGTGAAATGATCTGCTAGCAAATTACTTCGAGATTCATCTTTTCATCACCTTTAAAAACTCCTTAATCACCTCTTTTGCTAAAACTCTTGTGGATCAGTCACAAGTGAAATTGGTAAGATGAGCCATATATTTCAGCACTACCACATACCCCAGTACTCTTTCCATTGATTCATTTACTTTGGTCAGTTGTTGGTTTTGAGGGTTCGTGATCAAAGTTACCTAATATAGGCGATTGATGAACTATGGAAATTTTTTGATCGTTTACTGAATTGTTGAGAAGCAGCAATTTAGATATCATACATTAGTAAATTATATTTTTTAAAAATCCAATCGTGACAATTGGGGACAGTTCAGCTTCCAGAGACCAAACATGCCGTCGGCACAGAATATGTTGGTCTTGTTAAATTTGTGAAGGCAACATCCCACTCTTCCTCCTCCTCTGGTCCATTTCCCTCTGGAAATGGCAGGTTCCTGAGGACTGCCTGATAAGGACTGCCCATTGACGATATACTGTACCTCCAGGAGCTCATAGATTACACTTTATCAATCAATTGCCTGAATCCTTTTGGCCAATGACTATGTGACAGCCACTCATGACATCGGATGATCGTGGTTCCCTTATCCACATCCACTTGAGGACTAGTTTTCATTCCTTCTAAGAAAAAAAGCCTTATTTTTGAAAACATTGTACTCATAACAGGATAATGCAGGACCTGATAAATCATTTTTATGTTGGTAGAAACCTCATTACTGCTGGAACATGGTTAAATGAAGATTCATGCTATACATAGAGTACTAAGAGCATAGAGATTTAAAAGGGACCCCAATATCCAACACAGCTACTAATGCAGACTGAACCAGATCATGCAAAACCTTGGCAACCAATTCCATCTTATTATTCGACCTGCTTTAAATGCTGCCATAGTCTGTCTAATGCTGAAACTCTTAGCCAGCATTGGCGCCTATGAGCTTAATTTCTCATTCTTCTCGCTACCCACATTTCTGAAGCCCTTTTCATCTATTCGCTCAACCCCAACTTCATAACCTTCTCACTTTTTTAATTGTTTTCTGTCACTCTCCGAGGTTCTTCCTTCATGGCTTACCTCTTTTCTTTACCTCTTATTTCTCTCAACTCTTTATAAAGCATTTACGACTTTCATTACTTTGAAGAACTACAAGATATTATTGTTGGGAGAGCATGTTCCTCACACTAGGTGCTTGAAATTCAGTGTTCCATTCCTTATATATTCCTGATGAGCACATGGAGGATGCTGATCCCTATTCACTGCACAAGTCATATTTCTGAATGTATTGTATATCGGAGATCTTTAAATGACACGTAAAATACTGGGGCCTTTCAATTTTTGAATCTCATGCACGAAATGAAGGTCTTTGCATTGAAGGTTTTTCTTCTAACATTACTGTTCTCTATTAAGATTAGAAAACTACATGGGAGACTAAGTAGTTACTTAAGCAATTGCTAATAGTTACCTATAAATTAACATGTTGACTCAACTAAGCATGACTGATGACTACAGATACATTTTAAGTAATAGAAGGTGCGAGTGCTATTCCAAAGTTCAAGAAAGTTGTACTACTACTTTTCTGTTTGGAAACAAAAATACAATAGTGCCAAAGTGTTTGAAGACCCCCTGCAATTGTGCTTTTGTTTCAATCTCTGACTTTTCATGATTGATTTTCAGGAAGTCCTGAATAACCCCACTCATCACAGTCATGCACAGGATGGTTTGCAGATTGTCACAAGTTGTGATCAAGATAAGAGAAGTCCAGCTGTTCATTCAACTTCTGAAGAAGAGTGGGAGCATGAAGTGGATGAACTCTATGCTTGGACACAAGAACTATCGCTTGACTATTAGTCTTATTTTAGTCACAGAAATCTATGCAGTGAAGTCACATAGCTGCCAGACTCTGGCTCTTCCACAGTCAAAAATACTCAACTGTTCAGTATAGTCACATCCTTTGTGGTTCTTTTTCATTTGGCTTTCACTTTACCTACATTGTATAAGCTGTATTCTATTTCCTTTGGTTTATATAAAATTGGACTGTTGGATGCATATAATAAATTAAAAACTGAATGTTTTACATCTCTATTGTGAAGTTTTACAGTGTACAAAATTAAGGTCCTTCAGTAACAGTAAATAACTTGCATTTTTCAAGAAGGTGCAATCAACAATGGTCTTTCTTCCCTGTTTGGTTTTCTCCCATTCTCTTCTAAAGATGTGACTCATACTGCACAATAGTTATTTGGGACTTAGCTGTCCTCTGGAGAATTGTGAGGTCTTGTGACGCAGTGAATAGTGCCCCTGCCTCCAAGCCAAAAGCCCCAAATACAGGTCCCACTGCAGGACTAGATAACGCATCTATACCATAATCAGACTGATTGATTGATTATTAACCTATAAATCCTTTCACTGTGCTATTGGAAGGTGGGAGAAAACAATGAGCAGGAGCATCTCTTGGTCAGCCATGCTTGAGGCTGAATGACACCCCTCAAGGTACAGCCTCTGGACACAAGTTGACAACCTCTTCCACATAAAATTAGCCATGGTACCAGTGAACCAAGGAAAAATGCATATATTGTTAAGAAGTAACTTTGCAAAGTCATCAAATCCAGTATTATATTTCATCCCACAGGTGTAGCAAAGGTCACTTCTCAAGCAATTAAAAAAAAACCTTGCATTTACACAGATCCTTTCCATTCTAGATCCCAAAGTGTTTTACGGGCAACTGGTTTCTGCTGAAATGTTGATATCTCTGAAAACATGGCATTCAATTCGCACACAAAGGTCCAACAAATCACAAATGATGTGTTTTACTAAAAGTGTTTGAGGAATACATTTTTGATAGGCAACTGGAATATCTTTCCTCTTTCGAATGCCATTCCCTAACAATGGGCTCAAGTTAAACCAGTCTGTTCGCTACCTTGATATCACATTTGATCCCAAGGTAAGCTTCCAACCTCTTATTTGTTCCATCAGTATAACTGCGTATTTCCTTCTTCACAACTTTATCAGACTTTGCAGATTTCGGCTCATGTGCTGCTGAACCCTCATTCAGGTCTTTGTTACCTCCAGAGTCAACTATTTCAATGCATTCCTGCCTGGTGTTCCACATTACACCTTCTGTAAACTTGAGATCATCCAAAGCTCCTATGCTCATACCTTAACTTTCAGCAAATCAAATTCCCCTTTGACCCGTGTTTGTTAATCTACATTGGCTCCAGTTAAACAACATCTTGACTTTAAATTTCTCATTCTTGTTTTCAAATTGCTCCATGGACAATCTCTCAAATTGGCCCCAGCTATACAACGATCCATGACATTTGCACTTATTGAGTATCCCCATTTCTAATCGTTCTACCATCAGTGGATATACCTTCAATGGCCTAGGTATTGGAGGTCCTTTCCTCAAAAGTCTTTGATCAGAGAGATAGATTCCAATCTTCCAATTATTTGACCTAATATCTCGCTACGCAGCTTGGCATTATATTTTTTGATACTCCTGTGAAGTGCCTTCAGATGTTTCATTATTCTAAAGCTGCTATATAAATACAAGTTATTACTTTTCTTCAAATACTGACATGAGATCTTTCAGATCCACTGAACTACCCTGGGAAGTTTAGCTAGATCAAGTCAAAAGATCAACAATGAGACCTTTGTGGTCTTAATGATGCAACAACCAAAAGATTGATAGTGTGTTACCTTTTGAAAGGCACGACAAACTATAATTCCTGTTTAGCTGAACAAGACCTTATTCGGCAAAACTGAGACTTACTGTAAATTACCACAGGTTCAAGGGCGGCACGGTGGCTCGGTGGATAGCACTGCTGCCTCACAGCACCAGGGACCCGGGTTCAATTCCGCCCTTGGGCAGCTGTCTGTGTGGAGTTTGCACGTTCTCCCCATGTCTGCATGGGTTTCCTCCGGGTGCTCCGGTTTCCTCCCACAGTCCAAAGATGTGCAGGTTAGGTGAATTGGCTATGCTACATTGCCCGTAGTGTTCAGGGGTGTGTAGCCAAGATGGGTTACAGGGGGATGGGTCTGGATGGGATGAACCAAGGGTCGGTGTGGACTTGTTGGGCTGAAGGGCCTGTTTCCATACTGTAGGGATTCTATGATTCAAGTACTTAAAATGGAAGGAATTACTGAACAGGTAAAAACAAATCCACCTTATCATTGTTGTAGCAAATAAAATAATATTTTTATTTTACAGAGCAACACCATAAATTTCACAAAGAAACATACTCCAGGTAAATACATAGGACATTTAATAAAAATTGTTTCCTTAATGTTAGTGAAACATTGACATCAACATTTTTAAATGGATGAAGGGACTTAATTGGTTTAATCAAAAGCTAAACAATATTTACAAAAGGACATTTGCATAAGTCAAAGCTTTTTTGACAATGATTGTCAAAAAAATTCAAAGTGTGGTTATGAGAAAAATCACTAGAATACTAATTCAATTTCATACATTTGTTTAATGAGATTTAAAGTGTAAAGGTTTCACACACTTTTGTTCTTTAGTTAGATGACTTTTACCATCTCTGAAAATAATATCATGTCATATATATCCATTGATACATTAATAGAAAACAAATACATTTAAACCTATTTTTCCTTCAAACTGAGAAATTAAGGCAAGTTCACAATACCATTTTTGGGATTCTTTCTGGCATTACCTTTAATAGAAATAAAGTCAAAGCATATTAATATACAAATACTCAAGTAAAATTGACAAATGAAGGAATTCTTTTTAAAAGTCAACTCTTTTATTTAACACTTTTTACAATTTTACAAATATCTTCAGCTTTAAAAAGTCACAATTTTTTTGCACTGATTAAGTGGATATTTGAATATTTTTATTATGTACTGCAGTGCGGTTCCAATTTTTCTTGCAAGAATATACAGTTAATATAAATAAGGCATGAACATTCAGTCAAATATTTAACATGTAAATGCATTTTAACTTGGGTCTGTCTTAGATTAAAAGCGCTCTTTCTTGCCCACTCCTGCTGGTAAAAGTGGCTCTCAGCACCAACAAGCTGGCCCATGACTAAATGAATAGGTTTCAGGTTGGAGGATAAACTCAAAGAAATTGTTACAGCAATACTTTGTTCTATTTTAACTTCATTGGCTGCATTTGTGAAACAGTCCAAGAACCGACCAATGTTTATGACTTACATAGTCTGTTTCAAATGTAGAAAAACCTCCCTTTTATTCAAAACATTGACAATGAATTACAGAAGTTTAGGTTTGTTGTGCTTTTCAGCGCCACAATTTTGATTACAATAAAACAAAATGATTTACTGAAAAGAATTCTTGGTGACTAATCTTAACCTTACATTTAGTTTGTGAATGCAGGCACTTAAAACTCTGGGACTACAGTCTGAATGCCCTGTTTCTTATTACCAAAATTCCATTGAAATTAAATAACTAAATACCTTTGGGTGATTAATGCAAAGTCTTTAAAATTTGGGTAATTTGTTAAAACCCAGAACAGGGCTTATACACAAATTATGCCATCCCACTAAACTATCAAGTCCCTATCAATCCCATCAAGTCTCCAGGCACATAAATGTTAGCTACATATGCTTCTGTGCAACACAAGGTCTTACTTACAATTGATTTTCATGAATTGATTCAATTTCTCTCCCCCCACTCCCTTATCCTACAGATATATACTTACCTCAAATCTTTATAATAAATTACCCTCATCTTAAGGCTTGGAATAAAAAGGAGACTATTCAGTAGAGAGAATTGAATTTTTTTTTTTTTTAAAAACGGGGATAATTCGTACACCGTGCAGCCTAGTAGATGGTCCTGTATTGGCGACAATTTCTAAAACAAGCAAGGTGGTTTTTTTTGGGAAAAGGTGTATCCGACTTGCATGAAATACATACATGGTGAAGTGTTGAGGATAGGTTAATGACAGCTGTCACCTCCAAAGAATTGATGAATATAAGTTGATTTTCAAATGTCATCTTTTAATTGAGAAGCTTTAAATTCAGACTGCTACAACAATGGCATATGTTGGTGATAAATCATTTTTAATATTTTAATTTCTGTAACACAAATTTTCAAGACTTTAGTTAACTAAATACACTTCATTTAGAAGCTTGATGCATCCACTTTGTCCAGAGAAATATAAGATTCAGTATTTACATGTCAACAGTTTTTACACTTCCTGATTCGTTTACATTTTTGTTTGATAAATCTAGTTTTTTTACAATCAAATTCATGAAATTTTTTTTGGTTTCCAAATGGTTAAAATGGTAGGTGTCCAATGTGTTTAAACAAACTTTGCAGGTCACAAAAAAAAAAGTGTTGCAAATGTGCAAGATAAATTATTCAGTCCAGGAAAAGCTGCAACTAGAGTCTACTGTTCATTCCAGAATAAGTGATGGCATGGAGATGGTACGAAAATGTACATTTACATGCATTTTGAAAAATGCTTTGTTCTTAGAACAGAACTTTTTTTCTTTTTAAAAGAGAAGCCTTTCCAGTGTATTTCACCACCCAGACAGTTTCAACTCAAATCAATGAGAGACTGGTTTACCTAAATCCTGTAATTCTACTGAAAACTTATTCAATCATCTCAAATCCCACATTCACATAAAGGTGAAGAAGTTTAACATACAAAAGACATTGCAGTGACTTAATGAAGGATTTCCCAGCAATCCTTTTTTTAAATTAACTTGTATGGTTTAAGCTATTTGCAAGATACAATTCACTCTGGAGTCTTGGTTTCCAGGGTTGTCCTCTAGAACTCTAAAAATATAACTTCTACTTTACAAATAAAAGTTAAAAAACAAAAGACTGTATTCATATTAAAGCCAATGAAAAGTGAACATAAATTTGTTAAGCACAGGTTTATATACAGGAGGAACTCAATAATTCCTTCAAGAGGTTTGATTTCGCCAAAATAATCATCTAATTCACTATAAAATTGTTCTAGCTTCCAGACTGTATCCTTTTCCCCATCACCATCCTTGACTCCCACTGATCCTATCAGAAATAGTTTTCCTATCTTGTGTGATGTCTGCTGCCTCCTGCATTAAACTTTAACTGCACACTGGGATATTTTCATAATGTAACCGACCTAAAGAATTTGTTCCTCAATGGATGCATAATTCTGAGCACAAATGATCGGACCATGAAAGAGAAATCAGGGAAATTTGATTAGAAGTTCAGGTGAAATAAGATTTCAGTGGCATGCTAAAGTTGTTGATAAAATTATAAACAAGAGAGAAACCTAAAAGGAAAATACTAAAAAAATTATAAAAATTGACAAAAATTCAGGTAAGCTCTACAGAAATTGTACCAAATATAGAGAATGCCAGGCTCAGTTGTAAGGGTATTAAAGGGTCAAATTGTCAAGTACAGTTACAAACACAAACTTCACCATTAACAACTCAGGTTTCTAAAGTTAATTGGTAGAAACAAAATGTAAAATCTTTTACAGATTTTAGCAAAGACTACAACTAATTCAAATTAAACAAAAAAACAAACCTCTGAAATGCACAGGAAAGACATACACAGCTTCTTCTTTGGGCATCCAGTATTTCAATGGGAATACTTTTCAATACTGCACAACTTGCTCTCACCCAAATCCATTAAAGATCTACACTCCCATCCAGTTGATTAGTGTAATGTAACCACTGCCTTGGCTTATGTACATCTCCGAACATGCTCCAATATGAAGTCAGGAAAGTAAAGGCTGCAAACTTGTAAGCCGTCCAGCTTACAAGGCATCCTTGGATATTCATCTTCTTTCCATTTATTTTCTTCTGGATCAAAGGTGAGTATGGAGTCACTGTACTGACCATTGTAACAAAGGCCACCAAGGACTATTATCTGCTTTTCAACAACTGCCACCCCGTGTCCACTTCTACCAATGGGCATTGATGCTAGGATAGTCCATTGATCAGTATCAGGATTATAAACTTCTGTAGACGGACAGCCTTGAGACTCAAAAGATGCCCGTAAAATTACACACACACCACCAAATACATAGAGTTTCCCATTGTGGGCAATCATTTTATGAAAGCAGCGTGCATAATTCATTTTGGCTTTGTTCTCCCAACATGTTGTAACAACTTGCGTTCTCCTTGTCCGCTGTTCTACAGTCCCTTCTTTGCTGGGATCAAATACACATACCTGTTTGGAGGTTGAAGAGGACATTATACCTCCAGTTATGTACAGCTTATTGTTGAGAACTGTTCCTTCATGTCCATATTTATTAACTGGATATGGATCAATAAATTCCCATTTGTTTTGTGTAATGTCGTAACGTTCTGTAGAGTAAAACGTTTCATCTCTCGTTCTCCCTGCCACAGCATAGATATATTTTCCAATGATACCAACAGCAAACTCAGATCGGGGAACAGACATGTCAGACATTCTCAACCATGAATTTTGTCGAGGATCATACCTGAAAACTTTCGAAGAGGCATGAAATTCACCATCAGGGCCCAACTCTTCCCCTCCTAACAGAAACACAAAATTGTTCACTACTGCAAGGCAATCAGGTCGCAATGGTACTTGTGGACCTTCCAATTCCCACCAGACTCTTGGCCTGTGCAGCAGAAGAATCTTGCTATTCACCATGCTGTGTCCAATCATTCCTCGGAAAACTGCAGTCTGTGCCTTGCCAGAGCGAATGCGGTTGGATCTCATCTCCAGAAGAGGCTGTTGATTAATATTCTGAAAATAACTTAAAGCCTGCTCAACCTCAAAACGCAGCTGTCGCGAGTAGCGATAGAATTCAGATGGTTTCACCTGAGAAAAAACAAGAATATATAATAAAATGGTGGCAGTTAAACAATAAGAATATCACTGCTCCAGTCTTCAGTTCAGTTCTGGTTATCAACCCAAATATAGTTAGTACTTACTATATGAAGTCCTTTGTCCAATAAAATGATCAATTGCAGCAATTAATACAAAAGCACCAAGACTTCATTGTTTTGCAATTTTAGAACAGACCACAACTGGCACTTTAGCATAAAAATTCAAATTTAGCCTTCACACTAGTTAGCAGTAACGATGCAGTGTAAACTACAAACACAATAGGAAAATTGTAACCTAATTACACAACACATACTTTACTGCAGACTGTTTAGAGGAGTGACATTCCAGAAACTTTTTGTTGCTCTTTTTAAATACTTTACAAATTAATATGACTGAAGTTCAGTACTTAATTCATATTGAACTATTTAAATGGGAAAATTACCGTACAGCTGGATCAAAATCTTTTTGACAAACTAAACATAAGCAACAATAATATTTCACATTTATTAACTTTCCAGCCATGCTTTGTTCTTAATGGTTTAGCTGTCAAGTCACTATGGTACAGGAAAGCCAGAATGGAAAATTCATTAAAAACAAAATCAAATGTCTGAACATCTCCTAATTACCCTACAAATTTAATACTGAAAGGAAAGGAAATACATTTAAGTGGTCTCATTAAATAGGAGCACACAGTATGTAATTAATTTGAAGACACACTCATTAACTGAATGTACAACAATCATTTCTACCACATGGATTCAACCAAGAGTGGATGACAACATCCTTTAGGTATTTTAAACTGATATGAGATCCAGCATTTTATAATTCACAGACTGTAGGCTTACACTGTTTCTCAATGGGAGATTTTATATAAGGCATCTTATAGAAGATTGCAATAATGTGGGGGAAGGCAAAGAGAAAGGTTGTAGTACTGCAACAAAAAAAAGTGGCCGAGACTAGCTTTTCATACTTAACATAAACATGATTAGCAAGTTTTTCCTCTTTTTCTTGCACAAAACACACTTCAGTCACATACAGCAGTCGACACATCCACCCTTCACTCTCATAAATAACAAAATGGCCGGTGATTCCATTTATGATATTTATAAATATTAAGGTAAAAAAGGAAAATATTGTTAAAATTCAATTAATGACAGTGCGTTTCTTCCAACAGAAATAATTACACTCACAGAAAACTTTCTGCAGTCATTATCCAATTCTTTGCTGAATAAGTGAAGAGTTGAATTTGGTATCTTTTGAATGTTACAAAATAGCATAGGTTTGGATAGATTTTCCACCCAAAACTGTGTAATGACACACAGTTTGGCAAAGTAACATGCACAACACACTGTGGAAGATAATATTTAAAACACATAAGGAATGTGATAAGTGTATAATGATACATAAGATTCATTCTAAGCAGAAAAGGTATTGCTTCTTGTTTGCATATCTCCCCTTTTTTATGTAACAGCAGGGATTTGCATTGGGGAATGGTTTATATGGAAGGGCAGACATCCTACACCTCACCCAAGTGCATACACTTCACAATAAGCTGAAATAGCAAACACTGGCAAACTATTTGAAAGTGGTAGTAGCATAATGAAGATAATGTTTGTCGTCACCTTACTTCAGCAAAGGGAACTTAATATTGAGTAAAAGCTTAAAGCCTAGTTGATTTTTCCTGTTTCATGGCTGGGAAAATCACCGTTCAGGTAGCAAAGTGGTGATACTCCTGGTCTGTTGATATTACTCCCACACCATGTGGCAAATTCACAAACTAAGCTCTCTTTTTAAAATAATAGTCATTTAGCAGCACCCTACATTTTATTCCCCTTATTTTCTCCCTTTGAAAAAACTGTTAATGCAGCTGACTCTCTTCCTCTTAAGAAGTTAAAAGATAATGCAGGCATCTTAGAACTTTCAATGAATAGTCAGTCCATTGAAGAGCATTGCAGCACAACACCTGCATGGCAACTCCCCGAGGGATGGGCCACATATTTACAGTACATTAACATCTCAAAAGATGAGGCTGACTGCTTTCAAGAAAACAAATAAAATCATTAAATCACAAATAGTTGCAGATATGGAATGTAAAAGTCACCACAGAGAGCTGTGCAAAAAAACTTACACTCATAAATACACTTGCATTCATCCATTAAAGATAGTTTTTCTCAGCACTGAGCACTTCTTATGTCTAGCTTTAGATGTGCACTTTACTGGTTCAAAAATTGCAGTAAATCCAATAAAATCTGGACGTGGTGAAAACAAAGCTTAAAAAAGACAACTCATGGATCAATGGAAGTAGTTTTTTTTTAGGAGGAGCAACAGTAATAGCACAGAATGCCTTAAATCAGCAGAAGTTGCTACTTATGGTTTCCATCAGGCTTAAACTTGATCAGGTTATACAAATTACACTACAATATGAGCATTCAAAATGGAAGAAGTTGGTAAGGAGATAAAGCAGCCATTTAAAGCTGGAATGATACAGCACCAAAGAATCCTTCCATATTAGCATGAATAGATAGGATACTATTGAATAATGCCATAAAGTCAGAATTGCTCATTTTTGTTGTACATCATTTATTTACCCGTGAATATATGATAGCACAATTAATATAAAGATGGGATTGAGAAAGTGTGAAAACTCTGGATTAATATGGCTAGCTTCAAGCTTCAGTTGTTTCATCCTAGTTAGAACTTAACTTTAGTACACCAAATTACATCATTTTCTGTATAGAAAACAAAAAATTCGTAAGCATTTTTGCACAACCAAAGTTAACATATACCATCTAGTAATATCTGTCTTCTCAAAAGTAAAACTGACAAGATTTGTAACAATTTCAAGTATAATTTGCTGTGATTTTGCTTCAAGTTATCTGGTCAGTCTCACACAGAGATACTACTTCGTGTTTTGCTCTGGTTGATCCAAGTGGTTAATTTAGGAGGTAGGGAGGTGATAAAAAATTTAAAACAGCAAAAAGATCCTCCATAATTATTTTAGGAAAATTCCAACTTAATTTAAGATTTTTAAATTATGGCATCATGTATTTCTTCCTGCGTTATGGCTCATCTTATACTGTCTGCGCAAATCAGCACATTGCGCTCCAATCATTCTAAAAACCTGGGTTTTAGTTACACTTGTTATGTACAAATAAACACACAAAGACTTACAGGCTAGTTTGGTATCGCCAGTACAAATGCTCTCCACACTTTGATGTGTGCTGGGAGTATCAGTCCACGCCACACGACTGGTGTGTTACTGCAAAAGGTGAGCTGTATTAGAGTAAAAGTGTGTGTCCTGTCCCTTCCCTTCCCTCCCACCACCAAACAAATAAAACACCAAACAAAAACAATAAACACATCTATTTTGCTCAAGAAAGTTTCTGTAATTAAATCAACATCACAAACGTATACATTTTCACATACAAGATGAATAGCAGTTACAGAGACTAACACTAGTATATTAACTCTGCTTCCCTCATTCCCACCTCACCAATCACAACTTGGAAAAACAGTATCTGAAACAATGCCTTCTCCTGATAAATACAGTGGAACCAACTTAAGCACAATTTGCTCCAGATTGAGAAAACCTATGAGTTGATCCAATTGTTCACCAATGGTTTTGGCTAGATTGAAGTAGAATACAACAGCAGACAGGCATCAGCAGCTGGGTCGATGGGGTAAAACAACTGCAGCTCCTTATTAAACAGCACAACTGAACATATAAAGAATAAAGTGCTGAGCAAGTCTTTGGATTAACAAGTTGTTTTGTTAGTTTCTGAAAGTCACCATGGCTGATCTTGCTAGTTTAAAAAAAACTTAATATAAGGTAGAAATTACTTAGAGAAAAAAAAGTGGATGTGTTTGTGGCTTATGAAAAGCCTTGAAATTGGATCTCCTCAGAACTGAACATCAGCTGTATGTGGTAGAGCACAAAATACTGAAAGATGATGTGTGGGTAAAGGGAAGAAGAATGAAGCCTCAAGTTTCCACTTGTCTACATCTCGGATTACAACCGTGCTGCTGATAATTGAAAGGAAGGGAAGAAAAAAACTTGCAGTTACGCTTAGCTGAGCATTCCTCTGGTCTCATCATAGGCAACTCAGTTACAATTCTAATACCTGTCCACTTGGTTGCAAGAACTGCATGGCCTGAGAAAGTATTATTGATCTTAAGTGTGTTCCACTGTATTTTCTGGCTACAAGATTTATCACATTTACAAAAATTATAACCAACTGCATTGCAATCATTCTACACAAACACAGAGGAGACAGAACAGGACATTTCTCACTAAAATGGAACTGTACTAAATTAAGTGTGCGCATTTAATTACATGCAAGTACAGAAGGGTAAATAGTTCACCTTCAAAGGAATGAACCCTATCAAGACCTGCCTGAATTCAAATCTCTTGAGTTTTCTATCTTAATTTGTTTCTTCTGAATTGATGGTGATTATGGCAGATAACATCTTCTGCACAGTTGCTGGGTGCTTTCAGATCCAAACAAAATAACTCCACAATCCTCTACTGCAATGTGTAGGGACAAAACTTCTAATTGCAGCCAAGTAGTTATCTACTGGGTCTGGGTTTGAACTAGATTTTGGACATAAACACACTTTGGACCCCTTGCTACAGGTACACCGGAAAAAAAAAGACAGGACAACCAGCAAACTGCAGAAAAATAAAGCAAAGCCAATAAATGATTGCTGGAAGAAAAGTTAGACGAATAATTTATGTTGATTTCACCAAAATTGTATGTAATGCTAGTCACCAAGTTTGGATAACTAACCAAAGCTCGATGGATAGGCCAGTTACAGGATATTTTGTGAATGTCAACATATGAACTGAGCCTTTGGCTTGTAACTGATCACGATGGGTCTTTCTGCCCCATTCTATTTTAACTGAGGTTACACACTAACTCCTAGTACAGGTGGATCCAGTATCACTCTGATTCACTCTCAGTTCCACATGAAGTAGAATGCACAGACTACCAATGACCAAAAGACTTGCTGCTGCTTAAGAATCCAAGACAAATGTGCTGCCATTCCCAACTGAAATTGTATCAAAGATGGAAGTTTGAAAATAAACATTTAGTAGAACTTCAGAGCTTTTAAGTGTAGAGGCTTATTTTGTATTAGAGCAATATTTAAAAAGGTTATCTTGCTCCCCAAATATAATAACAAAGAATCAATTCTATGGCATGCCAGGCCAAAGCAACTTTATCTATCATTTTTGCATTTCTCCAAAAACTTTCACATCAAAGTACCAAATGTCACACAAAAATATAATTGCAACCTTATTTTTCAGTAATGTTGTAAATTACCCTGACACAAGAATTCTGCTTTGTGCTGCCACAGATTAGGCAATAGCTAGAAATTGAAAGAAAAAGCAAAGAAACCAAGAGTAGTTGCTAAAGATAGCAGATGGCAAGCTAGAGCAAAAGTATTTGTACCCTCAATGATATTTTCCCCAGAGCACACAATGGTCTAACTACGTTGATTCTTGGTTACTGCTTTCAAACATACTAACCTTTTCCAAAACGTTTGTCGTATTCATCAGACAAAACCTGACATTCTGAACAATGGCATCTGTGTGCCTCCAACGACTTCTGTCATGTCGCAGCCAGGCCTGCGCAGCCTCAAAAAGCTCAATCTCTGGAAATCGGCTTAATTGGTCATTTTCCAAACATGACAAAAGCTTTTCAACACTCAAGTAGGATAGAAAGTCAGCTCGGGACATGAGTGGCACGAAATTCTCAAGGAGGAACTTGTCCAGCTGTTCTTGGATACCATCTATATTAACACTGAAATCATCCAAGAGTCGCATGATTTCTGCACAGTTATCCAAGCAGATTTTTGATAATAGGAAAGAACAGCAGAATTTCACCACTTCAGTCAACTGGACATACATGGCTGCCTGCAGGATCTCATGGACAGTGCTCATGTTCAGTTCAATGGAGCCATAATACATAAATTGAAGCACATGACTAAAACCTGTTGGAGTCAGTCCCTTAAGATGAATCTTGTTCTGGTCTCGCTCCCTCATGTCAGCTGTGAACATTATTCGAAAGTAGTCACTCTGTGTAGCCAATAGTGCCTTGTGAGCCTGGAATTGGTGATCCTCAATTACTAGCGTGACATCGAATAACAATCCTTCTTCATACAGGGTTTTAAACCCTGAAGAAACACAGGAGTCATGAACAGAAGAGTTGTACACATCCACGTTTCCTGCCATTAATACCCTGAAACAGTCAAGAGAGTTAATTTTAATGTGGAACAAGATAAAATTAATATATTTATCATGAAAGAAATTCTATAGGAATACTGGCTACAATTGGCTCACCACATCTATCACTCCCCTCTCCAAACAACATAAATATTGGTCCTCATGTCATTACAACCTCTGAAGCACAATGCAGCTACGTTTTAGAAATTACAATCTATACCAGTTTAACATTAAGTAAAAAGATAAAATGTCTTAATACACAAATATTACTGCAGTTTTCAAAGATAATGTTACCATCTAACATTATCTGAGAAAATAAATTAATTATGGCAACATTATATTTCATAGCCACCTATAATCATTGTATTTGCTCAATTCAATCAAACCACAAGGGCCAACTGTATTTTTCCAGTCTTCAAGAAACTTTTTAAACCAAGATTTTGCACCAAAATCTTCCAAACCTAGTGAATTCTGGACAGATCCCAGTGGATTGGAAAATAGCTAATCTTAACACCTTTATTAAGGAGAGAGACAGAAAGCAGGAAATGAAAGGTCAATAAGCCTAACTTCTATCTTAGTAAAATACAGAAAAAGTAGAAAATTCTAAAAATTAAGGAGATCATAACAGAATATTTAAATCATACGTGATCAGGCAGCATTTGCATGGTTTTGTGAAAGGGAAACTTGCGTTTTAATTAATTAATTTGATTGATTTATGGCACTCCTTTGAGGAAATAACAAGCAATGTAGATAAATGGGAATCTGTAGACATGGCGGTCATTTTGAAAAAAACATTTTATAAGGTGCAACATCAAAGGTTACTGCAGAAGATAAGAACATATGCTGCGTTAGCTTCCAGGAACCACAGAGTAGAAATAGATGGGTATTCTTCAGGTTGACAAGATGTGGCCAGCAGCATGCCATAGGGGTAAGTGCTAGGACCTCCATTTACCATCTGTATCAATGACTAGGTCGAGGGACTGAATGTATGATGGCTAAATTTGCCAATGGCACTAAGGTAGGTAGGAAGACCAAGTGTCAAGAGGAAGTACAGAGCATGCAAAAGGATACATAGTAGTTAAGTGAGTAGACAAAAATCTGACAAATGCAGTATAATCTGAGAAATTGTGAACTTGTCCATTTTAGCAGGAACAAAATAGCAGCATATTATTTCAGTGGAGAAAGATTTCAGAGCTTTGTGGTACCAAGGAACGTGGATGAGCTGGTATGCGAACCATATAAAGTATATCTGGTGAGAAGGAAAAGAAATAAAATGTTGGCAATTATTGCTAGGTGAATGAAAGGCAACTTTTACTTTAGCTGTACACACGTATCTGGAGTACTGTGCAGAGTTTCGGTCGTTCTAGATGAAAAAAGATATAATTATGTTACAGGAAGTTCAGAAAAGTTCCACCTGACTCATTCCTGGGATATAGAGTTTAACTTACAAAGAAAGACTGAACAGGTTCGGCCTAGACCCACTGGGGTTTGCAAGAATGAGAGGTGACTTTATCGACAGATACAAGATCCTGAGAAGGTGATAAGAATACATGGGAAGACCAGAGCTAAGAAACACAGCAAAATTTACCTTTTTAGTGTTTATGGTGCTCACCATCACTATCAGTTGTTTTTATACTGCACATTGTTGATACAGTATTCCCTACTGTTTTCAGTATTTGCTATCAGTGTCCAGTATTTGCTTCTAGCTTTAATTCTTCGCAAAAAAATTACACATAAACAGCCATTGAATTCTGAAATTTAGCCTTGGTTTTACCCAATCCAACAGAGCACAAAGATTAACACAGTTAGCAAATTATTGCTTTTTGCATTGTAACCCACTTTCAGAAATAAAGTACAATACAATAAACACACATCTCGTTTTAAAAATAGAGACGTGTTACCACAGTGATTAAAATCACTTTTAGTCAGAGGTTTCAACATTTACAACAAAACTTGTTAGATAATCCTTTGACTTTCTAACCCACTCAACATTAAATTAATATTTAACCATATATTTATCAGTGCTAAATTCAAACAGACCTTTCTTATTTGGAGCTATTTAATGAAGCAGTAATTGCCGCTTTTCCCGCGGCAATGGGCTTTGTGCACTCCTTGGGATAGGTTTCCATCTTCAACACCTAGATACTTATCTGGGGGATGTTTTCATGCTTTAGTTACACAGCCGACTTTATTTTAATCCAGTTAATTCAATGACATGAGAATTCCAAAAGTCAAACATGTTCTACGAGTGGATGATTGACTCCGCCAGATTACTGCATAGGTGAAGACAGTAGCTATTTGAATTTTACAGTTGCCAGCCAGTTAATTTAGGACCTGGGAAACCCATAAAGTGAAGGCAATTCACAGCAACCAATGTCAGCATGCAGGTGCTTTGAAACAGCTATTCTGGGGAGGCAAGGAGGAGCAAGGTGTTTCTGACAATAAAAACACATTTTCAGCTACTGTCCGCCACTATCCTCAGTCCAATACTTGTTGGTCTTTGTTTCCAAATGCTGCCACATTCAAAGTGAAGCTCCCATTGATCTTTTTACAAATGCCAGGACTGTTCCTGGCTGCTATATTTTAAAGCTGGTTTTCTTGCTGGCTCTCTCAATCTGGAAGATTGATAGATGGAATACAGAGTTAGAAAGGATTGTTAAATTCAAAAATTATGTTGGTATTTTAAATTTAATAGATATTTCACTTATCCAAAATTTTTTGCACTCTTCTGAAGGCAGTGAATCTGCTCAGGTATAGATCTATGATCACCGCTTAGACGCTTGCCTAAACAGTGGGACGGCTGGGAGAGAAAAATTCTGTAGCTCCGAGCCTTGGCAGCTGATTGCATGGCCACCAATACAGCAGCAACTGAAACTGCAAAGTTCAAGAGGTCAGAGCTCTAACAGCACAGACATCTCCAATTATTGTATTGCTGAAGAAGATTATATTTAAAGATGGATGATACCATGGAGGGTTATGGAAAGAAAAATAAGAATTTTAGAATAGACATGTTGTCGAAATGAGAATTAATGTAGGTCAGTGGGCACAGGGCACAATGTATAACATAAGAACATAAGAACTAGGAGCAGGAGTAGGCCATCTGGCCCCCCGAGCCTGCCCCGCCATTTAATAAGATCACGGCTGATCTTTTTGAGACTCAGCTCCACTTACCCGCCCACTCACCATAACCCTTAATTCCTTTACTGTTCAAAAATTTATCTAGCCATGCCTTAAAAACATTCAGCGAGGTAGCTTCAACCGCTTCACTGGGCAGGGAATTCCACAGATTCACAACCCTTTGGGTGAAGAAGTTCCTCCTGATCTCAGTCCTACATCTGCTTCCCTTTATGTTGAGGCAATGCCCTCTAGACCTAGTTTCACCTGCTAGCAGAAACAACCTCCCTGCCTCCACATTATCTATTCCCTTCATAATCTTA